TTAGCGGTGCTGCTAACGCTCCTAGCTCTCCTCCTGTTGGTTAGTCGTTGGCGGTGCTGCTAACGTTACGAGCTCTCCTCTGATTGGTTGTTTACAATGAAACATGACCACAGATCAGAGACTAGAAACACATCAATGATGTCATGATCGTTTATTATTAGTGCTGGGCAACGATTTCAATTTTTAATCGTGATTTTTTGCGATTAATCTCATTGTTATGGCAAAGTTCAATAATGAATTAAAAAGTAGTGTATTGCGCACTTTTATTTTAAAAGTACTGCTATATGAACTAAAGGTGAATAACATTTGGTTTACAAACACTTTAAACACATCAGGTTGTTTTTAACAGCAGTATTCTCTTTACACAGTGATCATATTTCATATTTCTTATATTATATCATTTTTATATCATATGTATATTTTCCCTTTAACTCACGAGATGCAGCATGTTTTATACTTAATGTGAATATAATTCATACTTTGTTGGCATCTTATTCTGAAAACCGGATATTTGTCTGAAGAAACCGGATGTTGTCTCACGTTAATCTTTCCGCTAACTTTCAAAGTCCTTCGCTCGCTCCCGATCTGTGCCGTTTGAATGCGTTGACCGTGAATTTCAGCATATAGGTGCACTAACATGTAAGTGTCTGCTGAGTTGACCGCAGCAATGTCCAGTAGTCTCCATAGAGCAACAGCTGGTGCTCGTTGTAACGCTGTGTATTCTAACCGGCTGCAGTTTGTATTCACACGCTGCATCAACGTAGGCTGCTGAAGACTTCCTCCACGGACTTTCAAAATAAAAAAATGCGTTAACGCGCTATAAAATAATTGTCGCCGTCAATTAATGATAATAATGCGTTAACTTGCCCAGCACTATTTATTATATTATTATGTATCTTTACTGAATATCGGCCTCATTTAAGGAATGTTCATCTGAAGCATGTGACTCTGGAGAACAAGAGGGTTTACCTGAAATGTCGGACTGTTCCTTTAACATTAACGTGTCTGTGTGTGTCTGTGTCTGTCTGTGTGTGTGTGTGTGTGTTACCTGGTCGTTGTCGACCACCAGCAGCAGCTCCACATAGTGAGTCAGATGGAGAACAGCTCGCTTCATCTGCAACACAAGAAGAAGAAGAAGAAGAAGAAGAAGAAGTCAGTCCATGACGGGATCTTTACACAGTGAGAGTATTGATGAGTCATCAGCTGTGTGGATATGATGACTAAGTGGGTCAAAAGGAACAACAGAGCAACTACAACAGTCTAAATTCAGAAAATATCACTTCACTGTCATGAAGTCTTTCAATCCAGGAAAAGACAACACCTATGAAATATGACATGATGCGATATCTAGTCTCACATCACATCATATAACACTAATACATATCGTCCGTTCTTTCACTCATTCATTGAATCTTTAGAATATTAAAATTCATTGTTACTTTTAAAAGAACCGACAGAATTACATCTGTCGGAGTTGTGAGCGTGTAGGTGTGTGTGTGTAGGTGTATGTGTGTGTGTATGTATGTGTGTGTATATGTAGGTGTGTGTGTATGTGTGTGCGTGAGTGTGTAGGTGTATGAGTGTGTAGGTGTATGTGTGTATGTGTGTGTGTGTGATGGAGGTGTGTGTGTGTGTGTGTGTGTGTGTAGGTGTGTGTCTGTGTGAGTGTGTAGGTGTGTGTGTGTGTGTATGTGTGTGTAGGTGTGTGTAGGTGTGCGAGTGTGTAGTTGTGTGTGTATGTGTGAGTGTGAGTGTGTAGGTGTGTGTGTGTGTGAGTGTGTAGGTGTGTGTGAGTGTGTAGGTGTGTGTGTGTGTGTGTGTGTAGGTGTGTGTGAGTGTGTAGGTGTGTGTGTGTGTGTATGTAGGTGTGTGTGTGTGAGTGTGTAAGTGTGTGTGTATGTGTGAGTGTGTAAGTGTGTGTGTGTGTGAGT